GGCTTTTGGTAAGTCTGAGAAAGTCAAAGCTTTCATTCTTTGACTCACTCACACATTTCTGCTTACCTTTGTGTCATGAACTGTCCTAAGACACATTCTCTGTACTCAAGAAGCTCACTTTAACAGAGAAAACAAACCAGCAACCAGCTATTATATACATGTGATAATGGTGGAAATAATAACCTCAGTGCTTATCACAGTCATTGGTTAAGTGCTTCTATTATCCCAACCCACACAACTCTTTATCAGATAAATGTATACATTACCAAGGGAACAAATGCTTAGCTAGCATGCATGGGGCCTGTTAAATGCTTTGCATGCTGTAGCCCTTTAACAAGCTGTAATCCTATGATGTATTACTAGGCTCATTTTAGAGGAACCTAAAATAAAGAGATTAAATAATCTCCCCAGGTTGCATAATCAATAAGTGACAAAGCCAAGACTTGAACCCAAGCAGTCTAAGCTCATTCTACAGATTAGGAAACTGAGACCCAGAGGAAGTTGGAGCAACTTCCCCCAATTAATCAATCACCTAATAAAAGGCTACTACATATTTTGGACAAATGTCCATTTAACTCCAAGCTCCTGTTATTAACTCCTAAGAAAGTGTAAATCTTGAAACCCATGCCTATCATTTTGGTGGCCCAGAGGGGAATCAGTAATGCAGCAAATATGGAGGATGGAGAGCAAAAGAGAAGCTCAGGCTCTGGAAGAATGAGCAGGGATTACACAGATAGATAAAACCTTCTGGATCTTGGGTGGCAGGATGATTGCTAAGCAGGACAAAGTGATCTTCTTTTTCCTAAATTAGGAGGAAAAGCAGTAAGGAAAGGTATGATATAGACAGATTTTGAGATGTTTACATTCATATCTCATAAATGCAATTTTCTCCTTGCAGTAGGAAGCAAGGTTAGTTCCAAGAAGAACTAGGATGAGGCATCTTACAGTATTGAAGACTGAACCCAAGGTCTCTTATTTGCTAGGCAAACTCTCTACCAATTAAGCCACACACCCAGGGGTAGACTCTGAGACTGCCAACATCTTGAAGACAGAGAAGATGTGAATGATAATTGGGTAGAAGAGAGAAGCCCAAGGTCCCCTGTCATAAAGAAAAAGACCTAAGCCAGCTGGGTGTGTGGTAAACACCTGTAATCCCAGGAATCTGGAGGCTGAGGCAGGAGGATTATGAATCTGAGGCCAATCTGAGCTGTTAGCAAGACTCTGTATCAAAAAATAGAAAGGAAGAAGGGAGAAAGGAAAGAAGATGGAAGGAAGGAGGGAGGGAAAGAAAGTAGGGAGACAGGAAGGAAGGGAAGAAAAAGAAAAGAAGGGAAGTAGGGAAGAAGGGAGGGTGAAAGGGGAAGAAAGGAAGGAAAAAAGAAAGGATAGAAAAAGGGAGGAAGGGGGCTGGAAAGGTGGCTCAGTGGTAGAGTGCTTGCCTTGTATGCCTGAGGCCCTGGGTTTGATTCCTCAGCACCACATAAGCAAAAAGAAAAAGGCCGGAAGTGGCCTGTGGCTCAAGTGGTAGAGCACTAGCCTTGAGCTGAAGAGCTGAGGGACAGCGCCCAGGCCCAGAGTTCAGGCCCCATGACCGGACCCCCCCCCAAAAAAAAAAGAAAAGAAAAAAGAAAAAGAAAAAGGGAGGAAAGGAGGAAGCGTAGAGAAGGGACAAAAGCCAATTGAGCTCCTCACAATTTTCAACTTTCATTTGACTCTAGATAGATGACAATTCTCTTCCCTACCTGCTTGCTCCTAGGTAATATTGTCACATTGAAAGTAAGTATCAAACATCTATTAGCAAGAAGGCACAAAAACAGTCATAGAGCCTGTTTTTGTATGAAGCACTTGCATAGAAGGGTTACTCAAGCAGATGTCATGTGTCTTGGCAGAAGCAGAGGCTATTCATCAGGTGACAGAATTATGCTATCTGACTCGTGGGCAGGAGATGAATCCGAAACCTAGAACACCACTCTAGTGGAGATAGCGATTCTGGGATTTGCCAGCTTTTACTACCTTGTGAAATGCTGTATGATACAGCCACCCAGGTCACATCTTGAAGTCTTCTAGGTTGAAACTAAAGTAGAGATATCTATAGGATAACTAAAACTATATACCTGGATTTCCATAGCAAAACCAGAACTGAATGGAAAAGAAAAATTACCAGCATAAACGAAATGAACCCCAAGATAGGGACACAAGAGGTTTTATCTTTGTTGCTGTTCTTTCTAATGTACTTATAATATACTATGCGATTTTTTTATTTCTTTGTATGTTTTTCCCCATGGTACAATCCTTGTTGTCACTGTATTTGATTCCAGTGTCCTGCATCTGGTATATACATTTTGGGAGGGGAAGGGAAATAACAAAATGCTGAAATAAGGACACAGGTTGACCCATTGTAACAATGAGATATACAGGACACTACACTGAAAAAGAACTTTACAACTTTGATGGGGTGGGGGTGGGGGAATGGTAGGGGAAAAACAAAGGAGGGTTTAACAATGTTTGATAGGAAATGGTCTTATTACCTTGCTCATGTAATTGTAACCCCTCTGTACAATATCTTTACAATAATATATATATATTAAGAAAAAATTACAAGTGTATAAATCCCAGCATTTAAAAGCCACAGAGGGAGGGAGATGACCTAATAAAAGGATAAAGTGGGAAAACAAAATCAGAGAACAAATTCTAAGGAGCCCTAAGATTAGAGTTGCAGGCAAAGAATAAAGAGTCCAAACAAGTGCTTGAGAAAGTTGAAAGGAGAACAAAGCCAAGATACAAGAATTCGGAGTATATATGATCCAGTAGTCAAATACCATGTTCCACATAAATCTAGTAGAAGCAGCTGCCATGGATCAACCAGATTTGGAAAAATCATAATAGAAAAGAGAAGAGTTGGGACCATGAACCCAGGCAGAAGGAAGAAGTCTTCTATGAGAGGAGCAATGTCTCTTCTATGGCTGGAAGGAGAACAGTGAGGATGGGTATGGTTGTACCAAAGTTTGTAGGTGGACTGAAGAAATTATCCTGTTCATCCTAATCATTCTATTTTTCCTGGGAAGTGGAAGGTAAATGGGTATTTAATAACTTCAAGATCATAGGTACTAGCTGAGAGCTGGTAGTTCATGACTGTAATCCTAACTACTCAGGAGGCTGAGATCTAAGGATTGCACTTTGAAGCCAGCCCAGGCAGTAAAGTCCATGAGACTCTTATCTCCAATTAACCACCAGAAATCTGGAAGCGGTGCTGTGGCTCAAAGTGGTAGGGCACTACAGCTCAGAGACAGTGCTTAGGCCCTGAGTTCAAGCCCTATGACAGAAAGAAAGAGAGGGGAGGGAGGAGGAAGTGGGGGGGAGGGGGGGAGAGAGAGAGAGAGAGAGGAAGGAAGGAAGGAAGGAAGGAAGGAAGGAAGGAAGGAAGGAAGGAAGGAAGGGAAGGAAGGAAGGAAGGAAGGAAGGAAG